TTTTTTTTTTTTTTTTTTTTTTTTCCCTTTTCTTTTTTCTCATCAGCGTTTTCGATCGTCCTTCGAGACACTTTTCGTGTTCGAGGGTGCATTCTGATCGTTTTGCGCTCGCCAAGTCAACATTTTGCTTTCGGATCAATACGGATTTTGTTTCTTTCCTTTATTCACAGCAATGTTTAATCTTTTGATTTGGAAAATTCTGTGATTCGTGAAATTCTTTTTTTTTTTTTTTTTTCTTCTTTTCGTTTCTAGGATACTTGATTCTCGTTACATTTCGTTTTTTATGATAATTTTTCGACGATACACTTTCATTAAATTTCATTCGTTATTATTCATATATCATTTGGAGATGATTTGAAAAGAAAATCTTGACTTTGGCGCGCTTCTCTTTTACATCAGGGCTCGTTCGAATACACTTTCGAAGTATTTCCATTGCTATTAACGATATAATGGAAGATGTTTTAGGAATTAATTCGTTGCTCTGAAAATTTTCTTACACTTTCTCGGTTGATTTATTTTTTTATGTACTCTTGAAATTAAAAAAAAAAAAAAAAAAAATGGAAACGAATCTCAATCGCACAATTTGTTCCTGAAACATTTCATCATAGTTAATAGCAATAAAAAAAAATGGTTTTTATATAATGAAATGTAATTCGTGGTACAAGTAAAGTGAGATTATTCCGTGATTCAAAGTGATCAAATAACTTTTTGTCGTATGGAGCTTAATTTTATAAAAGAATTATTTTATACGATAATAATTGATAATTTTGTTACAAAATATTATCGTTTACAATATAATTTCTAGATATATTTATCGTTAGAATTATCAGTATTAACTTCTCCATGTACTTTTTGGAATAAACTAAATTCTGATTGAATATTTGAATTCTTAATCCACAGTAAGAAAGTATCACGAATTTATAATTATAAAAAGATCAATCATCCATTTCATTTCTTTCTAAAAGTTGACAGAATTGACAATTATCATACAATAATAATAAGAATTTTTAATATTATGGTATCATTCGAATCATACGAATCATATGAAAGTGTGTCATACGAAATACGAATAATCAAGATACAATCGATCAACATTGAAATTAACGTTCTCCTAGAGAAGGCTCCTTGCGTCAAAAAGTTATTTCACTTCTTTCTCTTTTCTTATACCTTATACCACGAACAAACGATGCCAAATATGGTCCTGTACACAAACAACCACGATCCCAACTAAAACTCAAAGAATATCATCAGACAATACAATAATACATATTTCATAAAAATGAAAAATCTTGATCAAATAAAAAATCGTACAAACCCTGATGCAATAATTACTCTCCAACGTTACACAAGAACACTTCTAAACGAAATGTATAGTTCCATCTACTCACTCGTCTTCCCAATATTTGGTTGATCGCTGCGCTCTCTTTTAAGGTACACTCAGCGACGACCTTCGCCCTCATCTCCTTCATGTACAGCATGAACGCGTTCAAAGGCTTTTTTATATGGGGTTTCTTTTTATCTGTCAAACATCATCGACGGGTATGAGAGGTGGACTCTACAGTGTGAAAATCAACGGTAAACTGATCACAGAAGCCGTCAGGTCCGTTAAACGAGCCCTTACCTTGATTGTTCTGCTGCCCTGTGTCCTGCGCTTTCGCGTTGTCCGACGGTAACGACGTGGAATTCTTCTGCTCCACCGTGGACCTGCCAACACGAAAACCGTCCACAATCATTATTCATCCTCCCTTTATCATTTATTCGCCCCATCCTCCCCCATCCCCTTATAAATTAAATTCAATTCAGATCATCACTGGGATACAGATATCATCTCTTATCTAAACCTAGACCCCCGTTAAGGTTACGTTACCGTTTGAAGTAAGGCTGCTTCGAGTCACGGTTCGTCAAGGGTTGTTGGTCAGGTTTCGTGCAGGATAGGGGATAGGTCGGCGTGGAGTTCTGGGAATTGCACAGTTGCTCCGCGAGATTCGTGGCTGGCCCGTCGAAGTAAGGTTGGGCGGGCAAGGTCAACGGGTTCCTGGGGAAGTTCTGAGGCAACGGCCAATTCATCTGTTGCCACATGCGATGCCTGGCCTCGACCATTGCCAGCAATTGAACGAAGTTGTGCTGGGCGCCGTACGGAGGCGGCGTCACGCTCCTCGGCATGCTCATGTTCGACATCTGCATCAGGCTGCTCATGTAGAGAGCGGTGAGGATCTTGTGATCGGCGGTGGGTAAGCCAGCCTCCCCCGCCTTCATCGCGTCCTGGAGTATAGTCATGTTGTCCTCGATCGTCGCCTTGCCGGGATCGATATTGCACTTCTCCTCGTCGATCGACCTGTTGTTGATCGACGACGCCTCGCTGCTGCCCTCCTCGATTGTCACGTTGGTGGCCGGCCCGCTCTCAGTGTTGTCGTCCTTCTTTATCACCAGGTTCAATGGCTCCAGACACTCGGGCTCCATCGCACTCGTGGGTCCCCGTTTATACCCACCGACACGCTCGAAACTGATCCATCGAAATCGCGATAATCGCGATCTCACTTCTCTCTCTTATATACGTGTATATATCTATCTCTCTCTCTCTCTCTCTCTTTCTCTCTATATTATATCCTCCCTCGCTACACGTCTATTCGAGTTCTCGAGTGCCGAGTATCCCGTACACGTTGATCACGCAGTGATCGAGAGTTTTATACAGTTTCGACGAGCAACTTCGTATCGCGATCCTTCCTTCGTTCATCGATTCGTCAGTGCGGCAAGCATCGTCGTAGCACGAGCACGTCGTTGCCTCGCGTAACAATACTGGAACGGGATCGAGAATTTGGAAAATATAATCAGTGGCCGCGTAGCAGCTTCGTAGCAGTATTACATCGCACCCCGTCCGCGCGCCGTTGCTCATCCTTGCATCCCCGCGCTCTATCATCGTACCCGCGGCGGATCGAAGAAGAGCGGTCGAAAAACGAGCGGCTTTTACTAATTGTAAACAGCACTTGTACGAGTACTTGTAGAAGAAAACATCTACGAAGAGAGAACGAAGGGAACGACGGCGGCTGGCTGCCGCTCGAGACTATACGACAACACCGGTGGTGGTGGCCGCGTCAACCCGGAAGCACTCGAGGAAACACTTTTCACGCCACGTCCCGTCCATCCGTGTCTGCACGTCCCGTATCACCGTACGTCTCAACGGCTCCATATCGTCGTGTGGATGGTATTCAAACATTCACGAGCGTCGAATCGCACGGTAAAATGTCTCCAGGGGCGGCATCTCGTTCTTCGGGCCCGCCGCTCCTCTCTTTTTCCTTCTCTCTCTTTCTTTCTCTGTTTCTGGTCCGTTCCACCACCGAAAAATATGAGACGAGAATCTGACGACAAAAATAAAAAGAACCTCTCCACGATTCTTTTCGATTATCTCTCTCTCTCTCTCTCTCTCGCACACGAGAGATCTTTTCTTCTCCTTCTCGTCTCGTTCTCCTCCTCTCTCAACGGGCACACGCGCGCGTTTATATTGTTTCTCTCTCTCTCTCTCTCTCTCTCTCGTCACGATTATTCCGCACAAGAAGTAGCACGTCGGAGAGATACAAATAAATATATATATATATGTGTGTGTGTGTGTATATATTTACATATAAATATATATACGTGTATAAGGGTAGATAGGTGGAATAAAGAAGGTTTCTGATCCGATACCGGTGTACTACCGTCTCCTCTGCCTCTTTTCCACCACCCTGTGTATCCCGCATCCAGCGAAAATGCGTCGTTCCTGGCGTCGGTGGAATCACCGAGCGGTGTTACGACGATTGATTATCCGCGAGTGCGGAAGGGGCGGCGGGGTGGAGGGCTGCACCGTGGGGCCATCATCGCGATTCATGGCTCCGCAGCAACGACACCCTACCATCCGCCGATGTATAATTCGCGCGTGGGGGGTGAAGATTGCATTCTCTCCGCTTTCCCTGCGTGATGCCTTTTTTTGGCGGGCTGCGTGGCGCTACCATCGGCGACTTCCCTCTTACACCCTCTCTGCCTGGGACCACCACCACCACCACCACCACCACAACCACCACCACCGCACACCACCACGATATGTGCCACCTGCACCGGACGACACCAGGAGAGGATAGTCCTCCTTTGGTCTCCACGGATCAGCTGCTTTTATATATCACCTCCTTCCTATCGATCTCTCTCCCTCTATCTCTTTCCCTTTATAAGAAAGAAAACGACGAGTCTCTTCCTCTTCCTCTTCTTCTTTAACTGACACGTGAGTCTGATCGATCCTCGCTACTCTCTCTCTCTCTCTCTCTCTCTCGTTCCCGCGTCGATTATCCAACGTGGATTATAACTAACCACGTGCGACGTTCTTTCAGATTACTCTCTCTCTCTCTTACTCAGATCTAAGGACGCGTTGAATCGAACGGAGGCGCACACGTGGTGGATGGAAGAAGAAATGTGCGGTGAAACGAGGACGGGACAACAACCGGGCAACGCTCGTACGTGGGCTCGTAAAAATCCGTGACAGCGTCCCGACGCTACGCGGCACGGCACCCTCGGCCTCCCCTCTTCGAGAACGCGGCTGGTCGTCCAGCAGCTGCCAGCTGATCCACACAACGCGGCGTGTGTCGCGTGCATGGAGTTGTGGTGTGCACGCGTGCCTCGGATGTAGGAAGCGCGACCATGCGGCTTTGTATATACGATGCTCGGGCCAGGCGATCGGCCGGGTACTAATGCAAATTAGAAATCTGTTTAAGAGGGTAATGATCAATACATAACCGGCGGCGGCGGCGGCGGCGGCGGTGGTGGCGGCGCCGGCAGGCGCAGACGCTGTGCGAAGAGAGTCATTCAATAAGTGTTATACGTGCCTCGACGGTGAAGGGGGAACGACTGCACGAGGGGTTGCAACTACCCCGTGACGTGCTACCCCCTATGGTCGTCACCGAAACTATCCGTCACAACCCCTGATACACTGTGACTGCCGGCTGCTTCTTTATCAACGGACGGGGGTGGATGGAGCGGCGTTTCCTTTTATCGATATGGAAGGATGTGGAAACCATTTTTTCAATTACTCTGTACTCGAGTTTTTTCCTTGACATCTTGGGTCGGTCATCGGTTGTCCATCCGTAGATGATGGATAAAACTCGTATTGGATAAATTGTATCTTGAAAGAAGAATTGTTGTATATATATATATATGTATACGTTTCCATCTCGATGATTGCTTGATCGTTTTGTAAAATCCATTTTCCATTAGGACGAAGAGGGATTGAGGGTGGTTTCATCAACTCTCATCAATAAATGTAAATTATCGACTGGATTAGCCTCTGCTCCTGTTAATTCTTTCTTTAAGTTAATTCTTTCTAAAAAAAACATTGTGTGCATCGTGTAAATTATAAAAGGATCGCAGAAAGCGTCCTTCTCGTTCTCTCCTCCAGTTTCCCGGCCAACGATTCGATCGGGATCGAGTCCACTCGAACAGATCATCGCAACCGATTATCGTAATCACCCTCCTCCTCCATTATTCATTGAAATATCTTTTCGATCAATCGAAGGTAACGGTTTCGGGGGGTTCGTTCTACGGGGCGGCGGATCGATATTTATGTCGGGGTGAGTTGTGGATGCGACCGAGGGAAAGGAATGGGGGAAAAGGGTGATGGAGTTATTGAATGAGTCGTGTTGTTCGATTCGTTGAAAAGGGTCCAGGTGTCGCTGAAATGTCGACGAGGAACGAACCTGTGATTGTGATCCAGGGTGGAATGATCCGTCTTCGGCGCCGAGGACACCAGTGCGTGGGACGCCAACGCGTGTGCGTGCGGACTTAATCCAGGATGCGGAGGCATCAGGCCCGTCGGCGAAAACCGGTAGAGATCACTGGAAAATTTATTAATAGATTTAAATTGTAATTTAAAGTGTTAGGTAGCGAGTGTGCTAGATTAAATGATAATATGATTTCAAAATAATTGAAATACGATAAGTAGAAATTCCAATCTTTTGAAGATATCGAAGATACTTGTACATCGTTCAAAACTTGTTTTGAATTGAAAATTTTAAATTAATTATCCTAAAAGAATGTTACTCTTACATATATTGAATAATTTTTGAATAATATATTCTAAATTTTGTTAAACTTATTATTATATATTTTGTTAAACTTATTATTATAGATACTTGTACATCGTTCAGTTCAAAATAAGTTTTGTTTAAATTAATTATCCTAAAGAATATTATATTTACATACATTGAATAATTTTTGAATAATATATTCTAAATTTTGTTATTAGAAAAATATAATTCTTAAAGAAGAGATTGGAACGATTTTTAAAAATGGGAGATAAATTACAAATTTCTTTAGATTTGTATAATTAAATTTTCAACTTATTATTATAGATACTTGTACATCGTTCAGTTCAAAATAAGTTTTGTTTAAATTAATTATCCTAAAGAATATTACATATATTGAATAATATATTTACATATATTGAATAATTTTTGAATAATATATTCTAAATTTTGTTATTAGAAAAATATAATTCTTGAAGAAGAGATTGGAACGATTTTTAAAAATGGGAGATAAATTACAAATTTCTTTAGATTTGTATAATTAAATTTTCAACTTATTATTATAGATACTTGTATATCGTTCAGTTCAAAATAAGTTTTGTTTAAATTAATTATCCTAAAAGAATGTTACTCTTACATACATTGAATAATTTTTGAATAATATATTCTAAATTTTGTTATTAGAAAAATATAATTCTTGAAGAAGAGATTGGAAGGATTTTTAAAAATGGGAGATAAATTACAAATTTCTTTAGATTTGTATAATTAAATTTTCAACTTATTATTATCAGTTTATCAATTTATTCGACGTTGAACAATTTTTACAAACTTTCAAAGTTCTTTCTTTGCGAAAAGAGATTGAAAATTGAAACTATCCATTGATAGAATTCGTCGTGTACAGAAACGCGTAGTTGAGAGAGTAATGTATAACAGAAATTAGAGTGTTTGAATGAACTTGACAAATTCGATCACCTACTAACCTTGGTAAACTAGAACTTGTGATGGGCAAACTCGTGGGATACGGACTTCGGAAACCAGTGCTTGCCGGGGAAATGGGGTACATGCTCGGTGTGTGCCTGAAAACGAAATTGTTTCATCAAACAGAGGCATCGCCTGAAACCAAGTCTTCGAATTATTGTTACCACTCTTGTCAAAATCTGTTTGAAAACAAATATAAAACTCTCTTTTACTATTTGATTCGTTATTTCTTCCAAATCTCAAGCTCAAGAGATGAAAAAAAAATTTCCTTCCGTCGCGTAATTTCTCATCAACGAAAATTCCTCTCCCCCCCCCCCAAAAAATATCGTAATCCTCGAATCGTGAAAAATTAAAATTCCCCGCATTTGCAATTTCCTTCTAAGATATATCCCTCCTACTCCAACTCGACGAAATCGCCGGGGAAAAGCCGCGGTTCCGCCCCTCCTAATTGAGAAGAACGGGCCTAATCACCCGTGGAAAATCTCAATTTGAGACGGTTCGAGCAGAAAGCAAATAACAAGGAGGGAGAGAGGCGCTGCAAGAGGGTTGGTTTCCGTTGGCGCGGTCACCGTGGTTATATCTGGTACAACGTCGAGCGTCGGTGAACGTAGCCGGTCTAATAGACCGGAACTGAGAGGATGACCGAGGAAACGTGGCCGTGATTCGGCCGGAAAAACGAGACCCGAATCGAGAAATTCATTGGCCCCCTCCTCCTCCCTATCTCCTCCCACCCCTTCCCCGATTTTCTTTATTTTTCATCGGCTGAAAGGAGAATCGAGGAGAGGATGAAAGAAGAAGAAGAAGAAGGGGTTGAGAGGGGGAGAAAGGAGGGGGAGTCTAAATAAAAATCGCGTTTATCCTGGTCGAGTGTCGCAGGGTTCGAGGGTTTGAATCGTTAGTACGCGAAAGGAGGAATTAACGACTGCTTGAGCGTGGAGGAGGGAAAAAAATCGAACGTTTCTCATGTAAATCGGCCCACTTCTCCCTCGTCCAACTTAACTTTTATCGGTATATTTGAGACCGTGTTTGGATCCGTGGCTATTCAATTCCCTCCTCCTCGTCCCTTTTAGTTCATATATATAAAACACAGGTTTAAGGAAATGACGAACGATTTAATTACGAGACATAAAATTATCGAGGAATCGTGATATTCCGATCTGTTGCCCACGATTGACGAGATGGTTAATTAACTCTGTTATTTTATAAGAGAGATAGATAGATAGATACGTAATGAGATCCGTTTATGCAGCCTTCTTGCCGGTGACGGTTTTATATCGACGGATGAAAGTGTATTGACTTACCAGGAAGCGGCGACTTGCGTCATTTCCGGGCTAAGCATGGGGTACGGATATTGACCCGTGGAGAAGGGATACATCGGCGCTCTTGTCAAGCCTGGAACACAAAATGGAACGTGTTGCTTGTCTCATTGTCTCTCGTATCTCTGTCCAACGATAATAAAGACGAGGATAAAGAGAGTGTTTCCAAAGAAAATGGCGAATATTTTAAAAGAGTTAATTTTTACAAGTCCGTTGCTTTCCACACTTCTCGATCCTTCATCAAGAAACTTCACTTTGTAATAACTCCGGGATAAGTATAAAATAATAATAATTAAATTTCATTAATTAGACGTCTCGTTAAGAAACCGAGTTCTTTTTCGTTCCGAGATGAAAACAAAGTTTTAAGGTTTCGCTTCTTAACAGAGAAAGATATATATTTTCCCTGTAATTTTAAATAATTCGAAATAATTCGAAATAATTTAATAAACGGAAATTCAATTCGAATCTATTCCCAAAAAAAAAAAACTCACCCCCTCGCTCCAATTAAAAAACTCGATTCGTTGAATTAATATTTCTCTTATCGCTTAATTATCATCGTTTGACCAATCGAAACGAGATAATTAACGAAAATTCCTTGGGAAGGAGGCGACCGCAATTTATCCTTGCTACTTTTCCACAGGGTTGATTTATTCAATACGGTGCGCCGTCGGCGTCGCGCCTGCTGGCCGCGTATCAACGGATGCAGTATAAACATTATTACTGGCCGAGATCAAAGAAGAACGATCCGATTGGAGGAAAGGAGGACTATGTATTTAATATCGAGCCGGTTTGCACTACAAACACGAATCGGATGACCCGGCGAACGGGCATTGATCACTACTGGCCGCAACCCCCCACGGCGTTCACCACCCTTTTCTCTCTCTGTGTCGACAATATCTGTTTGATAATAATTTGCATCGCATATGATCTTCGTAAACTATCATCGGGTTTGGATTGTATTGTTTCGCGAAATGTATTTATAGGAAATATTATATACGCGAAACGAAATTGAAATTTTTGCTAAATTTCTTTTTTTTGTTTCGTTCTATTATTAGAGCGACTGGAATGATTTTATGACAAGGGAGGGAGATAAATACAGTTTTTCAGTTTTTATTAGATAGAGAACAAACGATTTATTATAGGTTTGTTAACTACTTTCTGCGAAAAGAGTGCAATGCTCTAAGAAAACGATTTTTCTATTTTGAAATAATAAATCGATAAATTATGTATTTCGTTACGATATCGATGGAAAATGGAACAGTTTCAAGATTTGTCAAAGATTAAAATAAAGATTTATTAAATTTTCTTCTTTCCATTTTTCACCCATTGTATGTTAACAATAATGAATAATAAATTACACTACAATTCCAATATAACTTTTTTTACCCTCAACCGTCTCTTTCACCCTCGAAGAACAACAACAACGACAAAGAAAAAAAGAAAACCATGCCTCCCTCGCTGCGCAAGAATTAAAAAAAGAAAGAGAAAAATCGGTATCCGTCGTTCGAATCCTGGTTCCACCCTGTATCGATAATTACTCGAAACCTCCCCCTCCCCCTCGATCCGCGCCTGGATCGTCGTCGTTACACGAGGCTTGCACAGGGTGGCGTAGACGTGGAAAAGGGGTGGGCCAGCTTTCACAGTGGCGGTATCTAATACCGTATACGTGTTGCAGAACCGGTCGCGGCACCCCGAACAGCCCCCAGAAACGTCGACTGCCGGCTATAAGTGGGGTGCCTTTGGCGAGGCGAAGTGTAATTGGCTTCATAAGGGTCGACGAGAAGCGGCCGGAATATCGGCAAGCCCTGAAACCGCTTGACGAGGCCAATACTTCTCTCTTCCCCTCCCTCCACCCCCTCCCCCCTCGTTATCCTTCTTTTCCTACGCCGTTCCAACGTTGTGGACGGACTTTCTCTTCACCTTCCACCCCCTCCTCCCCCCTTTTTTTGCGTTTCGCGGGTCGAACATGTCCCGAAGGCCACTACGAAATCGGTCAACTGCGTGGTTTTCCACGATAGGGCCACTCCAAGCCTCCCCCTCCTCTCCTCTCTCCTCTAGTGGTCCGGATAACGACCGTCTCTCCATCGCGTGTGTGGAGAGATCGGCCACCCAGGGCTCTCGATTACTGGACGCTCACCCCGTTTCGAGGGACAAGACGAAGCAGTGGTTTTTGGGTGGTTTAGCGCAGGTTGAAGCGTGGATGATGGAGGATTAAGTTATTCAAGGATAGGATGTTTCTTTTCTTTTCTAGTCTCTCCACGTCATTGTTCCTGTGTAATCTATTATTATTCACTTTTTGAGAGATAATAAGTCCTTGTTGTCTTGGCAAAGTTAATAAGAATAATTGAAAGGAGGGAGTGGAAATCGTTGTATTATTATGATAATATTTAACAATTTAATAGGTGTATAAAATAATTTTATTAATTCCAAGATATATTTACAAGATATATCTCCTCTCGAATTTTGGAAAGTTTATATAAGTGTTTGATTAGAGACACGAATCGAAAATATAGATATTCTACTCGATATTTCATTCGATTCGAGAGAAACTTAATCTCACTTGATTCAAAAAATAAAAAAGAACAAAGTCTCTCATTCCCATCTGTGTTTTAACATTCCCCCTCTTTCTTTATTTCCCCCCCTCTGATCCATTTCCAACGATCAACATTTCTATTTCAATCCAACGTATACTTTTTATGCAAATGCAAACAAAATCAAATCTCACCCATCTCGATCCATCCTTATCTATATTTCACTTACGATATAAAATCTAAGTTTAAATTCAACTCGTCTATTGCGGGATCGAAGACGTGGAACACAAACGAGAAAGAGAGAGAGAGAGAGAGATATCGGTTCACTAAAAAAAGAGGATAATCTGAGGAAGAAGGGGTGCAGTTTGGGTGCAGTCGGTCGGTGAGATAGCAGGAAGGGGTCGTTATCTGTCCGATACCGTGTACGAATAAGGTAAGGGACGGGAATTAGAAGTACGAGCAGAAGAAGCTGGATGATATAAGGGAAGCGTGGTAGGGGCGGGGGTCGGGTTGAAAGGGGTGGCTCGTAATATCCTGGCGAGTCCGCGGGCTCCGTCATGTGTGCTTAATCACTTTCCAGTCGACTCGGCAGTCTGCAACCCCATTATCGGGGTCTCACCACCCGGAAAATTACTCTTTTATTCTCGAACAACTCGAGCTCCCGGTGTATACCGCGATATTCCCTGTCCTCCCTCCCCTCGCCCCGTCCTCGTCTCGCCGCCTCCAACGCTTTTCTATTCCTTGCCTTCCCTCTCCCTTCGATCGTCGGCGACTTCGATGCTCTTCGAAGTCTATTTTCTTTTTTTTCTCCCTCCCCCTTTCTCCTCCTTTCTTCCTTTACCTCTCTCGTTTCCTTCCTTTCAGGAGGAGGAAGGGAATCCAGTCCAGTTTCGCTCTTCGGTTAAAGGGTATCGTTAACATTTACCCGGTCATAGTCACAGGCGGAAGACACAAAAGGGGAGGAATGTCGCTACGAGGGGAGGAAATATGGTTCTCCTCGAAAAGCGAATCGACAAAGGGATATGATACGTGGGCGAGGGAGGGTTAGGCCTTGGTGGATCTATAATATAGATTATTTTAATCGTATCCTGAAACATCGTCAAGACGATTCCGGAATAAAAGTTTTCCTTTGTGGATGGATTAATCGATATACGAATAATATAATTCATAAATTTTTCAATTTATTTTTAATCAAAAAAAAAATGAGACCATTTCGGTTTCTTTATTGATCATATTCAACGTTCATTAAATTATTTATCAGTTTTTTTTCACTCTAGGTAGAATTATTTCTCTCTCATTTACTCATAATTAATATATCTAAGTATTCTTAAGAAACAGAAAACAATAGGAAAAAAAGATGATTCTGAACCGTTTTAATTTCTTTAGGGGAAAAACTACCATGAACGCTCGCTGTCTCCCCCTCGAAGTGGGGCTTGCCGAAAGAATAATTCTTTCGCGAAAAGAAGGACTATCCGGGTGGCGCGCGCGCGCACTCGAGGCTCGTGGCACTCGAGATCTGCTCGCGAGGAGGATACGTTCAAGTGGTATTTTAACACTCGAACGAGAGGAAAAGTGTATTTACGGTGGCGCGAGGCCGCGACACACGCATGGAAACCCCGACAAAGATGTCAAAGTGACCGCTCGAAGCGGTGAGAAAACTGGAGAACCTACTCGTGAAGGATTACGGTGCTCGAAGAATCGCAGCCGACGGTTAAAGAGGCCGAGTGGCTTTGCGCGCGCGCGCGCGCCAGCGCCGAGGATGGGAGCACAGGGGTGACTGTGATACTCCCCGCCTTGTTTGACGTTCTATTATGTTCATTAATCGACTGGTTTGATTTACTTTCAATGAAGATCCACAATGTTCGATTAGGTCACTTCTGTGCGCGACTGAATTGGGGTGCAAATTGGTTGGGGTGAAAGGCTGTACCCTTTTGCGAATTAAAAGTATACCATTTCATTTTATGGCGTTTGAGAACACGTTTCGGTGTAAGAAATTTGTTTTATTCGCCTCGTGTATGAATTGATAAAAAATGATAGGGAGAAAGTTTCGTAGAGAAAGTTTATCATGATTGGAAATTTGTAACGTTGTTATAAAGCAATGGATTAAGATTAAGTAGTTTAGTTGATGATTAAGATTGATGCAAACTGAGAAATTTTAGAATTATTCAGAGGATTTGATATCATTAATAACAATACTTTGCTATTAGTGTTATTAATTTTTATTAGTGTAATGAAAGAAACTATATAGAAGTTTAGAAAGCTAAAATAGGAGCAAGATAAAATTGTGACAAAAAAATTTTATCCCAAAAGATTTTAAATATTATTAATCATAATGTATTGCTAATTTAAACTACGAGTTTACATAAAAATTTAAAATAAATAACAAAATAACCGCAAAGTAAAATCGTAACAATTTTAATAAAGAAAATATATCAATGAAAAGTATTAAACTAATTTCATATCTGTTCTATCATTACCGCCATTGTTCTATTTGTTTCTGTTTAGACCAGTAAATTAATCATCTTTTAGGATCAAACTTTTTAGAGATTATGAAAACAATTCTGTTTTACCAATTATTAATAATGAAGAAATATTCTTTTTACAACGTTCTTGCATAGAAGATGTAATTATTAAAATTTAACCTGTTCTTGTTCCATCAAATACAAATATATCCACTACTATTAAAGTGCCGTATTGCATACATGGCAACATCGAGTGCGAAAAGGTTAATTTACAAAACCGTTTAAAGCTCAAAGCAAAGGAATCAATCAACCATCGGGACTCCCTCCGCCGGTAACAACGGAAACATTCCGTCCACAATCGAAATATAACTCGGCGGATAAAAATACCGTACGAACGCGACAAAGAAAAGGGGGAAAGAGGGAGAAAAGAGGGAGGGATGCAGAAAAATTGGGTAGAGCACAGCTCATAATCGCGACGGAAGCGAGAAACGGCGGAAAGGCCGAGACAAAGAGAAAGGAAAACCAAAGTGGAATAAAGAGAGAGACAGAGAGAAAGAGAGAGAGAGAGAGAGAGAGAGGTGAGAGATCGCCGTCGGCGTGGGTGGCGCTAGGAGGAGAGAAAAATTAAGCGGATCAATGGTGGAGCCCCGGCGAAAAAAAAAAAAACGCCGGGAGATCCTCTCGACCCTCCCCTCCCTTCCCCTCCTCCCCTTCTCCTCGAACCCCATCCCCTCGACGCTCCTCTGTTCCATAGAAAATCCTGAAATAAACACGCGGCGGAGATCGAAAAGTGGAGCTAATTAGAAATATATTCCTGGAAGCGAGAATCGCGGGCGAGGAAGAAAGGGCGCCGTGGTGGCGCTAGCGCTAGAGGGGGTGGCTTCGCGGAAGGGGTTTCGAACGTTGGAAACTCTCGAATCGTGGAAGAGGAGAGAGGACACGGTGGATATGCTCGGGGACGGAGCGAGTGAAACGCGTCCTCCGAGGACGAGGACAGACTATTGGGCAACGCACCAAGGTGAAGAGGAAGGGAAGACGGAGAGGAGGAGGACGGAGAGAAACGGGGAGATGAAGAGGCGCGGTGGAGGAAGAGGAAGAAGAGGATGGTTGAACGAGAGAGGTGGCGGCAGTGCTCTCGGTCGGGTGCTACGTGGCACGAGAGAGCGGGTGGATGAGTGAGTGAGTGGGTGGCGGCTGAACAGAGCCGAGAACCCTCTATAAGGGGGACAAAGATGGGTGGAAGACTCTCTCTCTCTCTCTCTCTCTCTCTCTCTCTCTCTCTCTCTCTCTCTCTCTCTCTCTCTCGTTCTCTCGTTCTCTCGTTCTCTTTCTCTTTCTCTCTCGTTCTCGATAGTGCGAGAGCAGAAGAAACTGGGAGAGCGAACTCGAGGGAAGGAAGGAGGAGGGTTAGAGAAGGGGGAAGAGGGACAAAATGCTCGCTCGTTTGCAAGACAAAGAACCCGAGCCGTACGAACTCGTAGTCGTGCATAAACGCTATCAACCCCATCTACATATCCCAGGGACGTGGGTGAGCAAGAGGAGGGTGGCGAGCCCGAGGTAGGCCCGAGGCAGAAGGAGAGGAGAGAAAGATAGCGCGCGCGCAAACACGTCCAGAATCTCCACCTCGGTTTAACGTGTATTTCTCTCGAATTTCTTCTTCTTCTTCTTCTTCTTATTCTTATTCTATCTTGCGTGCGCAACCTAACCTATTATTCGACAGAGAGAAAGAGACGATGAATTCGAATCGTTCTCCTTTCCCAATTTTTATTTCCCCGATCGAGACTCAGAGGAACGTATTACAAGAATAATAATGAACGCGGTGAGCGTTGTCCAAATTGACGGCGATCCTTCTGGCATAATAAAAAAAAAAAACGAGGAGTTCCAAGAATATATATATATATTTTGTAAAATATGTGAAGGAACGCGAATAACTTCTACTCGACTAAAAATATCAAGAGATTCTCAACGAGAATTAATGCGAAACCACGAACCGCTTCAAAACCGATTCCCTCGCACTCGACCTGATCCCGGCTATTCTTTTCAAGAAGAAGAAGAAGAAGAAGAAGAAGAAGAAGAAGAAAAATGTCACCAAAAAAAAAGAAATCGCATTCATTCACATGTTCGTACATAAAAAGTGGAACAAAGAGGCATCCTAGAAAACCATCGCCACGTCGACAAGATACATCGGTCATCGACTGCTAATCCACATTGGCTGGCGAGTTGATGGCGAGGGTTTCCCCAAAGAGGCAGGGGAGGCGGTCTCGGGGGCGGGTGCAACGAGGGTAGGAAGAAGAGAAGCTGTAGAAATAGAGAGGCGGGTTGAAACCCCCTTGACCCGCCAGAGGGAGGCTGCATGCCTGGCTGATTAGCCTAATGGTGAGTCCTCCTCTTATTCTCCTACTTGACGCCAGTTCGCGAGCCTCTCTTCTCTCTCTCTTATCCCACCACCACTTCCGCATCAATCTCTCTCGCTCTCTCACGTTCCCTCTTTGTTACCCTCGCTCTATCCTCCCCTCTGGGGACGCCCGGTTCCCTCTTCTCTGTATCTCCCTCAGCGTTCGAGCCTCGACATCGACGGCGAACCCTTGACTCGATAAGAAATATTCCTTCAATTAGAGGACCCCGTAGGAATATCAATGTTTGCACGGCTGCCAACAATCGGCCACGCGGAGACAGAGGCCGAGTTTTTAATTTGCCTCGAGTGCAAAAGAGGACTCGAGAAAGAGAGAGAGAGAAAAATTCTTGGGACAAATTTTTCTCAAAATATTTCGATCTTTTTTATCCGATGGATCATTGTTTTTCTTTTTTTTTTTTTTCTTTTTTTCGAGAGGGACGTTTTTATTTCGTGTAAAAAAGATGGTGTCAAGGATGACGCGAGAGAGAATTCTTTTATTTAAAATTCTTAAGTTTTATTTCTTTTTTTTTAAATTACGATCGGGTTTGTTGCGCGTTGACACCTGATCCGAGCTGACGAGTTACTTTTTTTCTTTTTATATAAAGATATCGCTTTCTTGGAATTCTTAGGTTTTACTTTTCGTTAAATTATAATTGGAATCGTTACACGGAATCATGTTCCTTTGACAAATTTTTATCGTTGAACAAAGACAATGGGTTTAGTGATACGTGAGCGAAAGAAAGAAATTTATCATTTTATATTTATGATGATTGTCTTTTTTACCGCGAACAATGATTCGTCATTATATATTCCAGCGTAGAATATTTCAGTATTTAATAGAAATTGAATTTTTTTTTTTCATATTCGAGTAATTCCATTCTCGAGAAAATATGAACGAAGGATTGAGCTTTGAATCATTCCACGCATTGATTATTGTTGATCGAGACCAGCCACAGTGAAAACCTGTTTATATTGTTCGCATATCACAGGGATGATGTTAATATTTGCATGGATCGATACAGTGAAATAATACGCGAAGTGTTGCCGCGAACCAGACCGTTGCGTTGCTCTATTACAGGGATGAGAGAAGTATTCCATCAATTACAATTTGAGAGGGTTGTCAATATTTGTGCCGACACTAACGATTTAACTTCGTGAAAGAATTATTGATTTAACCGATAGGATCCGTTGTGTACATTTTGCGGAAAGTTTAAGGCTAATTTTCAAGATCAATAGAAAAATAGAAAAATAGAAAAATAGAAAAGTTAACACTCGCTCTCGATATTTATAAATAGGATACAACAATTTGATTAATTTTTCTAATGTTTCAAATTTACTTTCAGTATCGTGATTTATCGTATAATTACTGAAGTTTAAAGAATCAGAGATCCAAAGAGGGCCAATTCTTAATCGTTTATCGAAAGGAAATCGTTATTGTTTCAACGGTAATATTAAAAATAAATGTAAAATACTTTACAACATTAATATATTCCGATACTCGTCCTTTCCAACCGTATCACTTTTACATTATTTTCCCAATGCATTAAAAAATCGGATTATTACTATAACCACTTAAATAGATATTTAAATATTCAGTAAGTAATTGTATATTATACTTCTCAATAGAAAATCAATATGGACAATTTTAGTGTTAATTTTTTCCCAATAGAGCAACTTTTATAAAATTTCTATTCTCCTTCATCGAATCGGAATATTTTTGGTACTCACCTGCCGCTGCGGCTGCTTTACCCGCATCCAGCGTCCCGTACGGTGGAATTCCCATATGAGCAGGCGGTGGCTGAGTCAGGTGGTCCCCATTGGGGCAAAAGAAGGGCAAACCGCTCGGATGGGTCCCCGCCAGGCCCATCTTGCTCGCCTATAAATCAAACAGAGGGAGAGATGGAAACATTTAATACGAAACACGTCGTGAAATCGCGTAACAAGTATGGATATAATAATATATGTATCCTGCGCCGTTTTCGACGGCGGTATATGGGCACGATAGAAAGCGTATATAGCATCGCGTGTCAGCGTTGCATTATCGTTATCGAGTAATTAATTAATGCCGTGTTGATTAATGCTTCGTTAATGCAGCCAGGTAATTAGCAGTCCGCCCGGGGATATCAATTAATTAATTGATGCCCCCGGAAGCATCGGCAGGTGTTTGCGTGAGACGATATATGTAAATTGATTTTTCTTTTCACCGTATCCCCCTCGTTTGATCGATGATGCGTCGTCGTTTCGAACACCACGAACGTCTCCTCCGTTCAATCGAATTTCGAAACTTAAAGATATCACAATGTTATCGAAGGAGAGGATCTAATTCGAAAACTATATATATATATATATTGAAAGAAAAGAAGAAAAATAAGATCTAATAACAAATAAATTGGACAAAGAAATACACCCATTGATTGATCAAGTGGCGGCTATAGTTATCCTTTTGATCAACAAGCCAGGTATCGAGAAACCATCCCATTTATCGGTGTCCTACAACAGGCTGTTTTAACGATCGGACAAAGGTAGTATCCGATTCTTTGATCGGCCCCCGTCGAGTACCATTTCCGTTCCTCCCTATTTAACATAGACATTAGCATCCCTGTTCTCGTCCTCGAACAGCGCTCGTCCCGTTGGACGAGTTTCTCCCGTCAGTCTAACAAGGAGGACGGACGAGGACGAGTAAAAAGCCCTCCCCCCTCCTTCTCCCTCTCTCTCTCTCTCTCTCTCTCTCTCTCTCTCTTCGTCGAGAAGGAAATATAATATACAATTCAATAAACTACTCGAAGGGGGGAAAGCGCGCTTATCGAGCTCGAGCATTAATTTGCAAAGACGGCGGCGCGCGCTCCTCGAACGTTCGAGGGTTCGTTCTCGTTCGGCTTTTCCATTCGTCGGCTCGAGCGACGTATCGCCGAATTCAAGTGGCTCTTCACCGTCCTCTCGCGCGACTCGTCGCGTCCCTTCTTATCCCTCCTCCCCCTTCCCTCTCTTTCTCACTCCGTGTCCCTTCTTCTTTCAACCTCGCTCCTACTTTCCATCGCAGCCGGAAGAGAATTAGTTCAATCTGGCCACGGGGGCTCGCAAGGTCGCAGCGCACGATCTCTCTCTCCCTCTCTCTCTCTCTCTCCCTCTCTCTCTCTCTCCGTCTCCCACCGGCGGGGATCGATACCTCGAGTGGTTGTCTCTTATCAGTTGTCGGTGCTTACCATGAGTGCGGCGGTATCGCGCATCGATCTGACAGCGAGTAACAGTCCTGGATCGAGAGGCTCCCTTTCCATCCAAGTCAGCACCCTCGACAGCAGACCGACAGTCTCTTCCGCGGTGGGCTCGTCCTCCTCCTCCTCCTTCTCCCCCTCCTCCTCCTCCTCGCCGTCCGTCCCTTGTTGCTTCCCCGCGCCCTCGTAATCGGCCCACTTCTCCTCCGCCTCGATCTTCACGCGGCAACGTGCCTCCTCCTCGTGACGATGCTCCTTCTTCCTTTCGACGCACCACGACGACGACGACGACGACGACGACGACGACAACGAGGAGGAAGAGGAGGAGGAGGAGGAGGAGGAGGACGACAACGACGAGATATCGTTACAGCTCTCATCCTCGAGGATCCACTTGCTCAACTCCTCGTCGCTGACCCGAACACCCGCCTCCCTAGCCACGTTCTGCAACTCTATCAACAGCATCCTGTCCTCCTCCTGCGCCTCGCTCGAGCCCGCGTGGACGCGGGACGAGAAGCCTACGAGCCCGCCTGCCGCGTTGGCCGAGCGGCCGATCGCTTCGTCGCGATCGCGCGGCAGGATCCAACTCCTCGCGAACGTTTCCGATCTGACGCTGAGCCAGGCGCGGTGAAGATCGGCGAACGCCTCCTTCAGCGTGAATCTTCTGAGATAGGCGGCGAGGGGGTCGGCCTCCTTTCCAAGGGGGGGATTCGAGGATGCGTTGCGATAGACGCCGTAACAGGCTCTCGTGAGGACGCCGGTAGCGAGCCTCGCCCTCAACTCCCTCACCACGATCCTCGTCTCGAGGCAATCCTTGGGCACGACGAACAATCGGACCAATCCGTCGGCGGCGACGCAGTCGGCCTCGGGCGGCAAGTAATCGGCTGTCTCGGCGACCAACACGGCGCCGTCGGGGTGCATCGCCATCGCGGTGACCGCGAATTCTCGGTGGAACCACCAGAGGAACAGGTCCACGGTCAGGGAACCCCTGCCACCGCCGGCGTAGATCACCGGCTGGCTGAGCATGTTCACCCGTCTAAGGCAACGTGGCCGCCAATGGCGGCCCGTTACCAGCAACCGCGTCCTGTGGTGGCCCTCGTGATCAGCCGCCCCCACCACCCACACCCTCTCGGCGTCGCCAGCTGCTGCGGTGGCGCGGCGTCGTCCGGGCAGGTCCCGCCAATCCAGAAAGGACACATGTGCGAGGTAGATTCTGCTTCGGTCGTAGCTTTCCAGAGCGTTCCTCAGGCTCTCGAGAACGGACGAGTGGGAGACGGCCGGGCAAACTCTTGGATTGGCCTGTTCGGGGCTCGCCTTGTCGGAGGTGGAGAACGGCGAGGGGGAGGAGATGGCCGAGGTGGGAATACAGTTGTTGGATGGCAAAGTAGACGCCGATTTCTCCGTGCTCACAACGACGCCCCGTCCTCTCGTTGACCACTGCCTCTCCTGTTTCCTCTTTCTAATTCTATCCTGATGCACCTCGTTCCCGGACGGGCAGTTATCCTTCCCGGCCGTGTCTTCCTCCCTTCGATCGTTCTCCTCCTCCTCCTCCTCCTCCTCCTTCCCGTCCTTGCCGTTCTCGTCTTGCCGCGAGATCGCGCCGGTAGAGGTCGACGAGGTGGAGCGCGCGGGCGAGGATACGGTCGAGGTCGATCCTCTTGAGGCCTCGTCCGTGGAGTAGGACAGGGCAGGCGAGGAGAGCGAGGAGGCGATGGACGAGGACACCGTCCCGTCACCTCGTCGCCTCGTATCGTCCTCGTCGATCCGATCGCGGCGGCGTTGCCTGCTCGTCGGCCATCGTTGTTGCATCAGGGTGCCGTTTTCACGGGGCTCGAGGCCGCTCTCCAGGGGTTGGCGCATGCGCCCCGCCCACGACGATCGACCCTCGCACGCTGCCGCCGCAGACTTACTCGTTCTCGTCGTCGTCGTCGTCGTCGTCGTACTGCTACCTCCTTCGACCGATTCGCCACCCTCGACGCTCTTCTTCTCCTTGTTGCCGCCCTCCTCGGTCCCCTCCTCGGCCCCCTCCGCCTCCTGCCTCCTATGCTGCTGATCCCGCTGATGCTGATGCTGATGCTGATGATGATGATTAGGCCCGCGCCTTCCCTTCGCGGTCGGCCTCTGGCCGACCCGCGTCGCGCACTTGCTCCCACGGGGCGACATAGTCCACACTGAGGAGAGAGGAGGAGCGATCGTCTGATCCCGTGCGAAAAAATTCGCCAGGCTGAATCGGCCACCGAATCCCACGGATTCGGCGAGCGTTGGCGCGCGCGCGACCGTTCATCCACGGCGTGCCGGCTTCGCCTACCGAGCGATGACTGAGCGAGCGGCCGCGACGCAGCCGTCAAAGGCCGGAGCGGGAACTAGAAGGCTTTGATGTACCGCCGCCCCGGCGCGCACAAAGCGAAAGCGGCCCCGGCTCGTTGGTTGGCATGCCACGGGGGCGGGGGCGGATAGAGCGAGAGAACGGGAACACGGGCGAGCGCGCGCCACGGGAACCGGAGAGAGAGAGAGAGAGAGAGAGGGAGAGGGAGAGCGAAAGAGAGAGAGAGACACGCTGCTGCCGTCAGGAGGAACTGGAGGGCGGAGGAAGAGGGGAGGAGAGAGAGAGAGAGAGGGAGAGATAGCGGTAGCCCGGCGGCGGATGTACAGTCGCCAAGAGGTTGGGAGAAGTCATAGTGACGGTGAAATAGCGAGGTCGTAAATTATCGTATCAAGTGGCGGTGCCGATTGATCCCGCCACTGCGACACCATTCGTGTCTCGCTTATCTCCTCCCCCCCCTCTTCTGCGCCGAATTTCTTATGTTTCCATTCCCGATATATCGGTTGTTTATAACGGTTCGATTGATCTTGCTTCTCCAACGTCGTCGAGACGTAAACGAAAGAGGATTTTTCGTGTTAAGATATATATATATATTCTTTGAAAGAAGAAAATTAATTGTTGTCGATTTAATTTCGATAAGGAGTCGAGACTATGGGCAATTTAGAGGACAAGGTCTGCATCAGAAATTTCGATGCGAGTCGAGAGGATACGATTCATACGTATGCGTTACGCCACTTACTTATTCCTTCACACGGATCCAGTGAGCAGCGATTTACGTGCGATACGCATAATATATTCATCCGACGTATCTAATTTCATAGGTTATCTATCTTTATTCAGTGAACGTTATTCATTTGTTTCTATCATTGGTTCGATTCGAGAAAGGAATCGTTGTTGTTGATGAATGGATATATCGATATTTTTCAAATAAGCGCAAATACCATAGATATCCATACGTAAATTGCTAATCAGAATGATACAGAATACAGAAAGTTTATACGAAGTTATATCGAACTTTTTTCCAGGAATGAAGATATCGACGCACGACAACAAGTTGAACCGTGTTGCGAGACAGGTTACATTAGGTATTCGAGAAGCTCTTGAATTATAATTAATGTTGTAACCAACAACGATTTAACTTTACGAGTCGATCACTCTTTCGATAAAACTATCGAATATTCCAACGTTTATCTTCTTCTAGCTAAGAGAAATATATACGCCGGATATTTCGATTTTTCTTTATTCTCGTAGTACGACTCCTCGTAGCAGTCGAGGGGGAGGACTGTGTCCACCACTTCATTCCAGAAGAGGATTCTCGTATCGTAAGGAATGACGATGAAGGACTCGATGAAGTTAAAAGAAAAACACGAGGCAGCACTATCATTGCAAGTGATGCTTCCCATCCAAGATTGTAGTCACGTTACTCTCCTCATGAGTAACAGGCTGCTCTTCGTGACTTACTTGACGATCGAGTGTACCATGCTGTGCTGATGATCAAGAATTTTTTTTATCCCGAATGCTATCCCTTCAGCACCTTTCCTCCCCGATCGTATTTTATTTTTCTTCCAACAGTACAATCGAGCGATAACTAATATAAGATACTTCATATCCCGCACACGGATGCAAATCTTATCGATAATCGTTCCGTTAAAACGTTCCACATCCTCAATAACCCGTTAACAACTTGCAAACGACTTGTGACAGGAAAAAAAAAAAGAAAGGAGAAAAAAGTAGGAGGAGGAGAAATATTCGTGGGGATATAATAAATTGCGACAAACCAATAAGCATCTATCTGTTGTTCGAAGGAAAGAGTGCACAGTTATAAAACTGTGTAAACGGTCTCTCTCTCTCTCTCTCTCTCTCGCGGAGGGTGCACGAGGGGTTGAGTGTATCCGTGTCGTAGAACGCAGTTACCGGAATAGACGTTCCCCTTGGAAAGGGGGTTGATCGAGCGAGCCACGTTTATCGGTGCTCCAATTTGCACGGCAGAGAGGTAGCCTCTCGCGAGCCTTTTTTTTCGTAACTGGAGCGAAAGATCAGCGCTCCCAGCCATTCGGGCTCGTGTGTATCGCCCTATCGTTTCGTTCCAGGGGAATAAGATGCGATCGGTCAGACATTTCAGCGTCAGGAAATTGTGCCCAGAATTTATTAATTAATTTTTCGTCCTTTTCTTTCTATTCATGGATAAACAACGAGATGAACAATCACAAGTTTCGATTGTAAAATTCGAATTATTCACGGATTTTTTTTATTGAACTTTAATAAGATATTATTTGAAAATTCACAGAATAATAATTTTTGATTTTAAAATATTTGATGATCGATCGTTGAAAAATATATATATATATATATAGAAATGACAAGTTGAAAGGGATAGCAATTCAGATTTCGAATAATACGAGAAAGAAGAATGGAGAAGGGTTCGAGGGTTAGGCGAAGGATGATTGGAATATCACAGTTCCCGATTATAAGTTGGAAAAAAGTGACCTATCTACCCGGTTCGCTATCTATTCACTTTGGTGAAACGATTAATTGAAATCGACGCCGATAACGACGCGTCGAGTGTTGGCTCGAACCTCGATGGCGTCCTGGAGCTCCATTAGCCTCGAGTGTCTACGTTCGAATTCAATTTTTACCGACCAACACGGTTTGAAATTTTAGTAAAGCTGTTCTTCAATCGTAGCGCACATTTTTTTTTTTTTTAAAGGAAAATAAAGAAACAAAAACCCTCATCGATATTTGTGGCAATATTATTAAAATGTAGAATACAGAAATTGATGCTTTTTAACAGCTTTCGTCGAGGTATCCTTGAAACTAAAACCTTTCGATGTGTATATTACACAAACGATAGTGAAAAAACAAAAAATAAAAACGAATTGATATCTTTCCTGCAAATTGCTCAATTGATCGAAACATCGAACTTATGTATATATATATATATATATATATATATATATATAAAAATTTTTGCTTCAATTTTTCGTTCAAACTGCGATTACAATTTTCTAAATTTCTTTTCTTACAAACTTTTCTCAAATCCCTCCACGTACGAAACTTAATTTCAATTTTCCTTGAAATTTCTACAAATCCACACTCGAAGTTCTCAATTATACTTTGCTAATTAATTTTTCAAAAATTTTACAACTATCCATCATCTTCTCGATTTCTCCGATCCAACAACTCTCCTCCCCCCAACCTCTCTTCAAAATCCCTCCAAAATCATTCATCTACATCCAATCATCCAGACGAGCTCTCGACAGACATCCTACAAAAAAACCCCTCGCACCCTAACCCCCAAACCCTAAAAAAAAAAAAAAAAAA